TTCTAAAACTCCAAACTGAGTCTTAGAGAATTTTTCAGAGCCTTCTTCGTTTCAGTATGAATATCAGATACCACATAGCTCTGAAAGATGGGCCAGGTCTGCATCTTAAATTGCACAAGGAAGCTGAAGACTACTCTTCGAGCTACCGTTCAGACTTATATGTAGTCAGCTTACTATCTCAACTAACTACAACTCCTGTATGTTCAACTGCTTTTACCTCCATCAACAGTTAATACACCTTAGTTTAGCACAAACAAACAAACCAACCTTTATCTATAGGCTGAACACCCTTCATGTTTGTAGTTTTGTAGCTTGCCAAAACCACAACTAGGTGCCTGACCAGCGACTACATCTCAGCTGAAACACTTGATCTTAAATATAACCTCATAGACACTGCATTGCAAACCATAGCTTGGGCTGTTTATCACAGCAGATCTGTAAAACCTTTGAATAAATACTAAATAAGGAAAATTATTGTAGTAATTTTTTTGTTTCTTATAAGTTTCCTTAAGCACTCCTAGTTACCCTTACCTAGTGTAAAGAAAAACATCTGCTATTTTACCTAATCATTTAAAAATTTTCCATCTAGACTAAATCCCTTTGCTGATGTTCTACAATGTAAAGCAGCAAGGATCATTTTAAACCTATAGATTAATATAGAGAGGAAGCTTCATAATATGAAGGTAAACAGAGAAATGAAAGACATTTCCTCATCAAGAACTGAGGCTATGATGTTGATTTCATTACTAAGTCTGTAGAACTGTATCGTGTTAATCTATCACACAGATGGAATGGGACAATGACAACCATTCATGTGTTCCTATTTTTACAGAAAACAGGTTTTTTATTCCACTGCCTCTATATAAAGCAATTAGATCTATGATCTCCAGCCACTCCAATAATTTTGGAAATAACTTTTCTGTACTTGAAAAATGTTATGGACTCTGTTTAATTACTTATCTGTATTACATTGACCTTTATAGCCACTATAGCAAATCCCCAGACACCACTGTGTTCCCACTGCATTAGACTCTCCACAAATCATTGCCAGGCATGGGGCGGGAGGACAGGGAGTCAATCCAAAATATTTAGCATTTCAGTAAGAGATCATTACTACTTAACAAAAGCAGGCAAGACTGGCAACTACCTAGAATCCCCATCCAACTTAGTGAGATTAATGAATAAGTTCAACAGTTAACACTTAAAAAAAGAGAATGTAGCTATAAAGAACATTACAGCTAATTATTTCAAATTATAATTTACAGAAAACTAAGACATACCATGACTCGTGCTGCTAGTTCTTGTTCACCGTTTTTCTCTAAAAGGCTGTAGATAAGACTCAGCTGAAACAAAGCTTGAGTGAGTGGTGCAGTGCTGCTTTCTTTGTTAAGGTAATCAATCAGCTCAAAGGCCTTTTCCAGAGACTCTTTTCCTAGACTATAGGACAATGAACACAAACATTAAAATGGCTTCCAGAACAAAAGCACTCCCTGAAACAAGATCAGAAGTGATTCTTTCCCTTACATTAACAGCGGGATGGGTTAACAGAGGGAGTAACATAAGAAACACTTCAGATATAGAGATTTTTATATTATAACATTAATAAGATAGCAACAAAGCAACAATGGCCACTAACATGCCTTCAATTTACAAAAATGAAAATAGGTAAGGAAGTGTGACAATGATGTCTGAAAATATTTATCATAAATGAGGATACTCAGGATACAGGAAGCAGCTGTTAAAAGAGGACATCCAGAATGCTCAGCCTCACCTGCTCTGAAGGCAGCGGTTAAAGACAAGAGAGGGAGCCAGTAAAATTTTGAGAGGCAAATAGCTTACTTCTCTAAAGTGGAGCACTCCTTGACAGAGTACAGGAAAACAGTTGGCTAGGCAGATTATCAGACTATTAGGAAAACAGTGTCTTCCAGAAATGGAAGCTATCATGTGCCTCTTTGTGATGCAAATAAATGGATGCTGCTGTAAAGAACAGGGAGATAACATCTAATACCAATATTGGAGCACCAGTGAAATAACTTTAAAAAAGTATTAGTGAATGGTGAACAGTTTCAACAGGCTAATGAAGACTGAATTAAAACTTCTCTGAAGCAGTCTTCTCTAGAATCTAAGTCTGATCTTCTTTGACTTGGAAAAAACTTTAAACACGTATTAACCTTATTTTCCAATAGAAAAGTCTTACCCTGCAAGGTTGAAGATATTGTTGATCAAATTGGCTCTGTCTTTAGGACTCAAAGCAGTGTGGTTTTTTTTCAACAGGTCAATCAGCGTTTTCCAGTCTTCAGCATAGTGCACTATGTAATAGCCATTCATGTCCACATTGAATTTTATCCATTCCACCTCTTCTGGAAGTTCAATGACAGCTAATGGACAGACAATCAGTTAGCAGCAGAAACAAACATTTAGCAACTGTTCGTTCAAATCCAAGTCTTGGAAGTAGACTGGTTCCAGAATGTCAATAAATCCTTTCCCACCTACTGGTTCCCCCTACTATGAAGAAGGAATAGCCAATACGGGAAGGGTCCAAAATTTCAGGTTGTACTTCTTCCTCCTTCCTCCTACAACTCATTGAATGAACAGTATCACAATCTGTCCCAAGTTGTAGCTATGCAGTTAATTACTTAGTGCAGCAATTTTTCTCCTGTCCAGTCCTCCTTTCAAATAACCCTGCCTCCTCTCTGCCCACTTTCATATATATATGTAAGGAGCAGCTACCCACATCACATAAAGAAATAGAGAAATGGAGACAGCATTAAGTAATGAAAGGCCACACTCTAGTTTCAAAGTCAGCTAGAGAAAGAAGAGAGGCTTTGGGGAAAAGTTCTTCATTTCAGTTGATTCTATAACTACTGCCAAAAACATCACTTTGCAAAGCACCTACAATGCCTTTAAAATTTAGTAAATATTCTACCCCAAATTCTTTTGTACATCTGTCTTACTCTCATATCCTCCACATCCAAGTTTCTACAGTGGGTGAGGAATTAGTATGATGAACACAAGACCACCAACAGGGCCATTTAAGGTGAAACAATGATGAAATCAGACTACTTGCCTGTTAGTTCTAGTAAGATCAAGAACACATTCAATTAAACAGCTTTGTTTTTCCATTCTGATAATTCATAATATTTTTTTCTAAAACTCCATCTCAAATGAAAAAAGCCTGGAATAACTTGAAGGCTTTGTAAAACCAATGTCAGAATGACATAAACCAAAATTATTTACTTTAATTATAGTACTTCTAAAGTAATTTCAGAGGGCTGGCAGTTCGTGAAAATCAGTAGACAGTAAAAATGTCAAGATGGGCTCTAAGAATTTGATTTTAAATTTGTATAGTTTTATTTCAAAAAGTAAAGGTGTGAGATATGTTTATGAATTAAAAATAATTGCCAGTTAAATGCACTAAATAGTAAGTTTAACGGGGGAGAAGAAAATACATCAGCAGATGTAAGACAATGAGTCAGACCAGCTTCAATAAAATGCAAAAAACTATTCATGTCAGTGGACAGAGATAGCCAAAGTGATTTTAGCATGATACCACATAAAAGTATATAGTAACTATTCACTGGGTAAGGAAAAAAACAGGGCTGAATAAAAAAAACCCCATAGACTAGCAATTTACGATTCAAACTAGCCACTGCAGCAAAAGCAGAGAGTTTATGTGAAAAGATCTGAGGGTTTCAAGTTCTACAACAACATTCTCAAAAACTTCATCTGTTCCAAATGCAATATTTTCTTATACCATTAAAGAAAATAAATAATATTTCAGTGGAAAGTGACTTCCTCACAACTCAGTACACACTGACAGAGCAACTCTCCCATTACTCACTCTCTAAAAGACATGCAATTTGAGAGATTTTGTGTGTGCACTGGGATGAAGACAGCATGCTTTTACAAATTCCAAACCTGTGCTTCTGCCCCAGTTCCTGACATTTATTGGACATACAATGCTACAGGGAACCAACTATCTAATGATGACACCACCAGTAGTGCTTGGCTTCTAATGTCTGTAATTATTTTGTACTATGTATGCCTTCATCTTCACATCTTACGCAAGTGTGTGCTCAGAAAGATTAGTAATCTGTAACACTTAAGTAACTTGCTACCAAAGTTTTGAGTCACATACCTGACTTTTGGTCCAGTAAATATGCATTAGTACAATGGGTAAAGTTGCAGCTACTAGTTATGTAGGTGAGAGGAATATGCCACAGATAACTGCAAAGGAAAGCAAATGTTTACTGACATATTATACACATATTATTTGTCTTGAAGAATTTGTTTTGGTTTTTTTAAATTTAAGCATTTTAATATATTAGTAGTATCACAACCACCACATGCTGTATAAAATAATAAAGTATAATTCTCACTCATATAATCCGAATATGATAGAAGAATACATGTACAGCATGTACAGCAATTATTTTTTTGTTCCTACCATGTTGAGAAGTGGGAAAATTTCATAGAATCATAGAATGGTTTCGGTTAGAAGGGACCTTTAAAGATCATCTGCTCACTGCAGAGCAGGGACATCTTCAATCAGATCAAGTTGCTCAGAGCCCTGTCTAACCTGATCTTGAATGTTTCCAGGAATGGGGCATCCCCAACCTCTATGGGCAACCTGTTCCAGTGTTTCACCACCCTCATCATAAAAAATTTTTTCCTTATACCTAGTCTGAATCTACTCTCCTTTAGTTTAAAATCATTACCCTTGTCCTATCGCTACAGGTCATACTAAAAAGTCTGTCCCTATCTTTCATTTAAGTACTGAAAGTCCGCAATAAGATCTCCCCGGAGCCTTCTCTTCTCCAGCCTGAAAAAACCCAACTCTCTCAGCCTGTCCTCATCAGAGAGGTGTTCCAGCCCTCTGACCATTTTTGTGGCCCTCCTCTAGACCCGCTCCAACAGGTCCCCGTCATTCTTGTACTGAGGACTCCAGAGCTGAACACAGTACCCCAGGTAGGGTCTCACCACAGTGGAGTAGAGGGGCAGAATCACCTCCCTTGACCTGCTGGCCATGCTTCTTTTGATGCAGCCCAGGATACGGTTGGCTTTCTGGGCTGCAAGCGCACATTGCTGGCTCCTGTCCAGCTTTTCATCCACCAATCCTTCTCCACAGGGCTACTCTCAATCCCTTCATCCCCCAGCCTGTATTGATAGCAGGAGTTGCCCCGACCTAGGTGCAGGACCTTGCATTTAGCCTTGTTGAACCTCATGAGGTTCACATGGGCCCACTTCTCGAGCTTGTCCAGGCCCCTCTGAATGGCATCCCATCCCCCAGGCATGTCAACCGCACCACTCAGCTTGGTGCCATCTGCAAATTTGCTGAGCATGCACTCGATCCCACTGTCTATGTCATTGATGAAGATATTAAACAGTACTTGTCCCAGTACGGACCCCTGAAGGAGTATATTTCCTAGTACTTCTTCCTCAGCTCTAGCATGCTAAGTAGCTTGTCCAAAGTCATATGGACAGGAAATCTCTGGCTGTATCAGAAATTGAGCCAGTATTATTTTCACCTCAGTCCAATGTTCTGTCTTCCTGAACTTTTACAAGTTTGGGGTTTTTTTTAAAAACAATTTATGTTGATTCAAGTACAAGACTCAAATTCCAAATCGTGGTAATAGAAGCCATAACTGATTGCATACCACAAAGACTGTCTCAAGTGAACTGCAAGCTGGAAGAATAAATGCTAAGGTGGCTCATAATGATGATAAGGACTTGTCTATTTAGAGAAAACACAACTTTGAGTGAGATAAAACACGTTGCACATATGCATTCCAATTTTGACAGGGACCCCTTCTGTGTACGGCTCACACAGAGTGCTCTTCTTCAAAAGCTTTTCATGCACTCCCCAAATTGACATTGACTAGAAACAGAAGACTAATTAAGCCTAACAATCCTTTCCTTCTTCCCTTACCTTTCAACCACACATCACTCTCCTTCCTTGACATCACAAAAATAAAACAAAGCCCTGTAACTTCCAACATTCCAAGAGCCAAATCCCTTTCACAGGCCTGATTCTGCAAGATGATGCAAAGGACTCAGTTCCTGGTAAGACTTCAAACAACTGAATAAAACCATCAAAATCTCAAAAGGATTCAAACCTACATATTTTGGTTTGTTACAAAATACAGTAAGGTTTGTAATATAAGACATATTTGCAGTAAATGCATTTTTACAATTAGCAACTGCCACATCTTTGCTTCTTCAGCATTTGCATATGTACTTCCTTTTCGGTTTTGGTGCAATGTATATTGCCTCTCTTATATATTCAGCCATTTGCTGTCAAGCATTAGTGGATCTTAACATTTTTAAGCCTAGAAAGCTTTGATTCTACCTTCTACTTTTCTCTAACAAAGACCAAGATGTACACTGAATTTTGGCAGGAAGGAGCAGAGGCTCTAAAGTAAGACATAGGCATCTGTAACTTCTGCAAACTGCAACCTGCCTTTCTACAGCTTCTCATTAACCACACAAAACTTTCTGAAATTAAAAGAGAACTTTACCTGTGAGATCTGCCTTTTAGTATTAAAAAAACTGAAGAATTCATTCTACTATTTACCACAACTCATCATCCCAAGCTTAAAAGCTTCAGGAAAGGATGTAAGAAAGAAACTCAGCTTACAAGGGATGCCATAGATTTTTACCAATTGCTTGGGTGGAAATAAACATGGATCTTCAGGCAGACACTAGATGTGTGAATTTCTGTGCCAAGTTCTCTATTACCACCTGCCTTCAAAGAAAATACTAGAACCCCTGAATACAAGTGAGAAAGATGTATAAGATACAAGAAGATATCTGCAGGCAGATTTTAATGGATGAAAAGTATTAAGAAGGTAGTAACCTTGCATCTGATGTCCAATTTTCTGGTTCCACACGATACAAAAATTTCTCTTGTTGTACAGAAATAATCTTTCCCTTTCGGACAACAGTGACTAAAGGAAATCCTTTATGCAGAATCCAAGTTTTCATCAACTTTTTTACATCTAGTGTTCCATTGGTAATCTGTAAAAAACAATCATAACATAACAAGAAAATGGCAAATGGAGAACATTTTTAAAACCTTCCTCCTTAACTTACAAAGTAAGTAGTAGCATGATTCTGCAACTGTAAACAATCACTTTGACACTGAGCTTGTAAATTTCATAAGCAACAATTTAGGAGAGCAAGTGGGTTTTATTTTCTTAAGTTGAGAGAATCCTAGCCAAGCAGTGGAAAGACAAATTGGAAACATGAAGTATATTGAACTGGTATGTCATGAAAATGGAGAAGAGAATGTTACAGAAAAGAAAGTTGTAGTAAGCCTCCCAAGCTTTCCCCTATCCTTTCTCTCTCCTTATTGGTATTCTGATATTATGTGGGTGTTTCAGGTTAAAGATCTTCTTTTAATTCTGAAATGAATATTAGAAATTGAATTAAAGTGATGGTGTTTGTACAACCAAAACAACATATCCTTTATATTAGCATATAAGCACTCTCTTTTTTTGTTTTTTTATTCCCCCCTCCCACTTACCAGTGGGCAGCATAGCTTAACCTCCAACCTCTTCTAATCTCTCAGGAACTGTTTCTACTACAACATCCCCACTGAGGGACAAGTACTTTATAATATCTATGTATCACTGCCTCTTTATTAGCAGAGATGATCATCCAACCTGAAAAAGACAATATGCCCCCTAACTCACAAAAATAAGCAATTCTCTATCAAAAGTTTAAAATCTATAGAATTTGAAGTTTATATGGTTTTTTACTTTTTACATACTCCCCAAACTCATTCTTGGCTATATCCTCTTCCTCCATCTTGTTATCACAAGCTATCATTGTTACTACCATGTTACAATATGCTATCCTTTCATGCATTGTCCACGATGTGCTGAATGCATGCTCTCACTTTCTTTTGCCACTATCTTTTCCTTTCCTTCCTGTTACACTTTGAAACCACCAAGAAATCTAGAAGATCAATGCCAGCCAGCCAAAAATAAATCAAACCAAAAAACCCCAAACCCAAGATGAGAGGAATGTTAAGAGATCAGGAAACTAATTAAGTCTAATATTTGCACCTTGCCTGTTTAGCATCTCAGTCTTTCTGTGGTAACATTGTGAGCCACCTAAAGACTGGCAGAAAGATTTGTGTCTAATCTGTACAGACACATGAGTAAATCTGAAATCTGCTCCACTGGAAATAATGCTATTCCAAAAGAGAACCCTCCCCAATCACCTGAAATTAAACCAATTCACTAGAAATTATAGGTTCACAGTTTCATCGCAGCAAAAATTTTATTGACATTAATTGATTTTATTAACATATCTTCTTTGAACAGCAGCTCCTAACTCCAGTGAAAGCAACGCATGAAAATGACTTCATCCTTCCTCCCTCCGGGCAAGGTATAAAAAAAGTTTGCTTCCTGTGCTACAGATTTTTCATTTAATTCACATGCAGTTCTCTCATCTCACTCCAACTATGATTGTTGATTTCCACAGAGAAGGTTAAGACTTAAGAAATGATTGTGCGTTTTGCTGTGTGGCCAGTAAAATTTTATGATCAAAGAAAAGGCCACTTTTACAGTTATAATTTTCAAACACATTCAGTCTAGGCATAATCAATGGGAGCAAAAGGAAAAAGAGCCAATTTGCTGAATATCACAGATTTGTTTTTACTATTACCATAAATACTGTAAACAACTGAAAAGGATACCAAAGATCTCAATACATGATAATACTAACGATTTAATTGTCACAAGGGAGACTCAGTGAAATAGTTCACATCTAAAACAGAGAAAAATCAAGAAGTCCAGACAGAGATATGGCCTCTTGTGTTATGAAGATAAAACTTTGAAAGAAACTTTTAGCAGATCTGGGCACTAGCTAGAGTCCAAGAGCACTAATAATGGTATCAGTCAACTCAAAGACCAGATAGGTACACAATGTGTGAGCTACTCAGATTAATCTAGTTCGTACAGTTTTAATTATTCAGACACCTATTGGGGGAAAATATTACTGAGCAAAGACTTTCCATCAAGTTCATAGAATGGATGAACTTTTGATACCAAGGGCAGAGAAAGTAGACATACAGCTTGCCTAGATTTGACTGTTAACCAACAGAGTCTGGCTGAGAATCTGAAGGTGAAAGACCATCAGGAAGCAAGAGAAACTAAGAATTCAAGATACAAAAAGAAAAATATTAAGACAGAAAGAATACCAAAACAAAGGAATATGACACAGGGACAGTACATTTGAGTAAATTCAGAGAGGCAATAGGTGAAAATCAGTGGAAAGAAAGTAGTGCAGAAAATTTGGTACCTTCTCAGGGAAGCAAAATAATAAAAGCCCAAATGTAAACTAACTCATTGCAATACCAGACCAGTCCAGCTAAAACAGGAGTCTTTGGAAAAAGGGAATATGAATGTGTACGGAAGAGCAGGCTACGTGAAAACACAAAATTAACAGCATTAACACTGCATGCAAAAAAACCACAAAAAAACCCAAAGACTCAGGCACAAACTAAGGTGCAGCCAGAAATGGACACAGAGGAAAAGGCAAACATTGTAAGCAGCACCAGAAAACATATAAAGAACCGGTTGATGGGTTCCTCCAAACGGAAGGGCAACTTTTAGCAGACAATGCTGTTAAATACCTGGTGTCAGCAGGATTTTGGTAACTATTAAATTAGCACCAAATACAAAGGATTGTTTCTCATTAAAATGGGAAATACACACTGAGTTCTGATGTAATATGTTACTAAGTTGGTTGGATGTGATTCACTTAACAACACTAATGCAGGTGGGTGAAGTAATCCCAGAGTTGCTAACAATTACTTTTGACTCTTAAAAAGATGATGACTGATGTTCCAAAAGACTGGAGAAAGAGGCCTTCTGAGTTTGCAGAAAAGCTGAACTTGCCCCATGGACAAACAGTACGGTTATAATTAAAAAAAAGTTCTTTTCTGAGCCAGGGAGACAGACTAAGCAAGTAATGTGCACTTTTGAGAACGACTCTTTTCCCATACTCTAGTAACACTTAAACCCTGCATCTAGTAACACTTAAGCCCTTAATAAACACGTTAATTAAACGGCATGTGTGGTCTCCCTAGCCACTCTATGTGGATAGTACCATCTCCCTGTGGTGTTCTCTACATGTGCATGAAGATGGTTGGTCATGAGGCTCCATTTTGCACAGGTTGAGGAGAGGAAAGTCTATTTTGCATTATAAAAATCACTATACAAACCAGAAAAGTTCTCTGTCATTAGAGGCTGATATCAGTAATAATCCATTATTAGCTGGCAAACTCGTGACTCTGTATGACTAAACACACAAATTTACAGCCACCTGTGACAGCTGACAATAACTAACAGCAGCTCCAATTCTGCAGAAGTTCAAATATCGTAAGGTAGATGCCAAGAACCAAAACTAAACATTAAGTTAGTATCCTGCCTAGCACTCAGCTTCTCTGAGGGAACGTCATGTATTTCAGGGACATACTGTGCAGTACATACATTCACAGGGAAATCTGTTCCCTTCCCTTACAGAACTACCTTGACACTCCCTGGGGGTACTCAGCAGCTCTTTCTTGTGATCACTCTCTCTCTTGCACTCTCACCCTGTCTTGCACACACTGTCTCCTGCTCGCACGCTCTCCCCCTTGCACTCTCCCTCCCACTCCCTCCCCACCATGTGCCCTCTCATTTGCACTCTCACACCCCCACGCCTTCCTTGCTCTCTCTCCCTCCCCCTCTCCAACCTGCGATCTTTCCCCCCTCTTTCACATGCGCCCTCTCCCCCCTGCCCTCCTCAGCTCCCACAGGCTTGCCAACTCTCACCCTTGCTCTCTCCTGCCCATGCCCTTGCTTTCTTGTGCCCTTACTCTCTCCCCCCCTACACACTTAAATCAGATATAGCCTTATGCCTCCCTTACCATTTGAGGGATGCTGAACTAAATTGTCCCCTACATTCTGTTTTCCTACAATGCCAGCACCACTTGTTGAAACAGAAGCTGTCACTGAATCAAAGTTACACTAGTAGAGAGTAAAGACCTCTACAGTAGTTGGATTCAGCTATCCCGTGAAAGTAGTTTTGTCCTGCATTTAAGATGACCATTTTTATTCTGGTCTTAACACATTAACAATGCAACTCTGGAGAGGCTATGTACATACTGACGTGTCCACACATGTGGATATCCATGGTAGTGCATACCCACTTCTGGCGCTTTTTTGGGATGATACTCAATGGAGTCCTAGAAGCTACAGGAATTCCAAATCTATATGACAGAACTTTGGACTATGATAAGCAAGAACTTCAGAGTATTTACCTGCAGTGTATAATCTTATTTCTTTCGTAAACAAGGAAATATATAAAAATTTACAACACACTTAAAGAAGTGAAAAAGCAAGAACAACGTATCAAAGATGGATACCTCATTCATGCTGTCCCACAAGTCATCACTCTGGGCAGATCCATAGTTGTGATTATGCAAGTATACCTCAATGCCAGCTTGGAAAACATCCTTAGTGAGATAATGCTTCAGCATCAAAAGAAGTGAAGCCCCCTTTAGGGAGAAAAAAAAAGAAAAAGAATTGGTAAATTAAAGTTATAGAACTCGTTGAAGCATATGCATATTATAGCTCTTTCACAGTACAAGAATAACTCAAAAGCTGGCAGATTTTATCCCAAATGATATCATTTGAATAATTACCTTAACACTCAGTTGCCTTGGAAAAATATATTTTAAATATTTCATAAACTCCAAATACAGTTACAAAAAATGTTAATGCAGCTTGAAATTATTTCCCAGTTGCTTTGGGAAAAAATACTTTTCAATATTTCAAAGGCTCAAAATACAGTTACAAAACAGGCTAATAGAGCTTGACATTTTTTCCAATTAACATAATCTCAAAAATATTGCCTTCTTACTGGTAAGTCTCTGCTGGCTGCCGTATTTCATTAGCAATACTCTTCTGTATGGTACAGAACTGCACGCTGTGAAACAGCATTTAACAGTCATATGATTTGCAGTTATATCAAAAAACTAAAATTACAGGAAAAATATGAGACACACTTAGTAAGCTGGAATTGACTGTAGAAGGACAAGTGCATTTTGACAGTGTTTAAATACAGCCATGTTTTGTTAAAAAAAGCAGTAACTGATTAGTTCTAGTATCAAAGAGGCCATGAATGTGTAGACAGAAAGGTGTTATTTTTTTGCTTTTTTTAAACATAGCTGAAAGCCATTTTCTTTCCATAGAACTGCTTCTGTGTCCCAGCTACTAATAAATAAATTGCCTGAGGACTTGCAGACTGTACAACTGAATGCAGATGAGCAGCCATAGATCATGAAAAGTTTAAAGGTGCACTTTATATTTTTGATACTATCTTGGAGAAAGGATCAAGAAAAAATTAAAAGGAAAATTTTAATGAGAGCATGTATGGCTCTTACACAGTCCAAATTCAAGTTTTGGAATTTAAGTAACATCTTGCCTGAAACTGAAGGCTGCCTGGTTAATGTAGTTATTCATGAAACTGCAGGAATACCCCTTACTATAGTTTTTAATTATACCGTCATAATTTCCTCTCCTGTATGCATCCATATTTAACCTATAGCTCTACTACTTTGTTTTTCGTACTGGCATATCTTCCCAAACACTCCGTTGTTGCAGGTGGATTGTTGTCCCATCCTTGAGAGTTAGGTTTACTGATAGTCTGCAAAACAACCAGGCTAAAAAGAATTTTGTACAATAATTCCTATTTCAGACAGTAAAATGTAGAGGCTACCTACTGATCTGTGTCAGTTGGTAGCATAGTAAAACAACAAAGTTGTACAATTCAATAACAGACCCCCCTTAGCTGATTAGGGACCATGTTACAAGTGTCTTCCCACTCAAATTGCCAAAAGCGTTAGTTAAGATATAGGGCCAAGAGTTGTAGAATACAAAGACTGCTGCATGAATGAAGAGCTATGCAATGAAAGCCTCTGAAACATAGAAAGCAGTCATGAAAAACCTGTTTCTGACAACGCAAAGGCAAAACTTCTTTTGGTTAGCTCCTGAACTCAAAGGTATAGGTTGCTACATTTCTATTCAGAAAGTGCACATACTTATTAGTAGCAATGCAGTAATTCTCCAAATATAACGCTTTACTAAGTGACTGAAACTCCAGCCCAATCACTTATGAAATATTTCCATTAAAATTACATAGAGTTTTGATCAGGTAAAAAGTGACAGAACTGTTATCTCTGACGCTAGTTGGCTACAGACATGATTGTGCATGATGTGTAACTTCCAGAAGCTCACCAGAAAGGGAATTACTTGAGACAGCAACTCTGAAGCATGAAACAGCCATGCCTTTTAATATACAGTTTAGGGAGAGAAACCAAATCCATTTCACAGCCAAGGGAAGCTGAAAATCACACACCTCTGTTCTTGTAGTTCAGAAAACAGAGACCAAAATAAACGGAAGCACATTACTATCGTAGGTCCATTTGGCATCTCAGACTACTCAAGGATGCAGACAACATGTGTTGACCAGTTGAGACTTGCAAAAAGAAATCAGAGAAGACAAACTGAGACAGCTGTGGGAACTGCATTCCCTGAGCAGAGGAAGATGTAGTATTTGACTATTTTCTAGTAAGCACTAGCTGTCCCCATGGTTTCTTACAGAAGTACATGCATACACAGATAGTGGGGAGAAAAAAATGACAGCTAATCCAGAAGATATAAAAGGCTTTCCTCCAATACTACCAAAATCATGGGACACAGTGTCTAAAACCTGAGACAATGTGAGTAAAAATTTTGTAAATGCAGATATTTGCTCTCTCATGCATTTTCCAGTGAGGCATGGTGAAGCTTTAAAGACATAAACCTCACACACAACCCCCACTAGACATTAGAAATAATCAAGTTGCAGACAACCAGGATATGCAGTGAAATTATTTTAGATTCCAGACGCAAGCCTCCAGTTCAGGAAGTCTCTAAAATACTGTTTTTTAAAAGCAGAGAGAGTATAAAAAGCAGTGACTGCTTCAGTAAGTGCCTTGTTGTTACTCTTTTCTTAAGCACTTGTTACAGTCTGTTATCAGAAAAAGAAAATCTGTCTAACTGGATATTTTGTTTCGCCTCCTGGGTCCCGTCTTACATCTTCATGAGTATTTTACTTTGTGCTGAAGCACACACCAAGCAGAAGAATGTTAAGTAAGGACACAGATACACATACATAATTTTTTCCTAATTAAAAGCTATGTAGACGCTGAGAAACACTACTGAGAGATCCTGCATTGTTTGTGCTAGGTGTAAATTACCCCCAAACAATTGTCAGTACATGCCTACTTACTCATGATTCCACATTCATGTTTTCAATAGGTAATACATCACTTTTCAAATTTTTCCAAATATTTTTGAAGTTACCTTGATATAAGAAAGTGCATCAAACATTTCTTCAATTTGCTCTGAAGACTGAACAGCAGAAGAGACTGGATGTGAAGAATTCAAGGAATCCTTCATCATAGCCTTGAAAATTAAATTAAGAAAATCTTCATCCTAGAAGAGAAACATTTGTAAGTGTCTGAGAAGCTTGAACATACATGGTAAGCAGAACAGTAAAAGCTGTCTCCTTGTTCTTCATGTCACTTAGTAACATGCCATTGCTTGCCATCCTGGCAATGAAGCCAGCAAAAGAATTGTCAGGGTAGCATTTGTAAAATCTACTCTAAGCAGTGGAATCTCATTCTTGAGTTTACATCGTTATCCAGGCCCTTAAGCTCCTGTCTCAGGTAAATGCATCATTGGCACTAGAGAAAATAAATGTACCTACTAAGTAAGTATGTGCCCAATTTCAGATTTGGCTCACCAATGTTTTCAGTTCATTTACAGTAAGCAGGGAATACAAAAGCATGATTTCTTTAGTATGCTTTAATATTAAAGCATGAAATCTAGGGAAATTATTCACTACAGTGACGTTTGTGTGAATGTAAACACCACCTTATCTAGTGATCCTAGTACCAAAGCCTCTTCCTTTTTTTCCACTAGAATAAAGATATTTGAATTTAATACATTGTTACCAGAACGAGACAACCTCAAACACTGAAAAGAAGCTGATTGTAGTGGTATTTGCCCATTTCATTTCATCAACACTTGAGCAAACAATTCTCTATACAGTTTCCTCTATACAGTAGAGTGTTACAAAAAAAAAAAAAGTAAGACTTGTGAATTATACAATAAAGATACCCTTTAAAGTTTAAAATTTTAAAGCTATTCTTCTTGAATGCAGAAGTTTGGAGTGATTTTTTTTTATTTTTACCGAAACACATTTTGGCACCACCAAGCAGTGAAATGAGATGTTGGCGAAGGCACCTTGTCAGGCACCTTTCAGAATGAAGAATACAAGTATTAGATGTGTCCTTGTTAAAATATTAGACTAATTTTGTGTCCTCCCCTCACCACATATGCACCCAACAAACAGAATGGCTATAAAAACATACTTTCAGTGGCCATCAAACTCAACAACCAAGCTAAGACAAATGAAAATCTTTTTAAACACCCAGCTCCAAGAAAGAATTCTACTGAACCAAGTTAGCAACCCAAGTTTCTTAATGCAGTAACAAGGATGAATTAAGAACTCAAAACTCACACTCAGTCAGAATGCTGAGAAGAACACAATCCAGCAAGCAGGAAACAGTCAGTAGGTGTCAGGTTTTTAATCCTGTGACTATACGCAAATCACATAAATACTCCTGGAAGCTGGCTCCAAAGCCCAGGTATCTCCTCTCCTAGGATGCAAAATTATTCTCTCCACTGCCCCCTCCATTTAGTTCCACTAATCTTCATTTCTCTGCCTGCATTCAGTGACAGGGATGCTTTACAGCAGTAGCTGGTATCCCTTCCTTGGAGAAGAAAGATCAAGTTTGAATCCTTCATGTTTTCCAGAGTCTGAGAAGCTAGGTCACTTAGTACCTGCGTGAGTTTTTAAACTCCTTCAGCCATATGTGTAAACAGAAGTACTTGTGACAGCAGTGTTTTGTACTATTAGTGTAACTCAATGCTATCAGAATCCACTGGGTGGGACCATATGATACTTTTATACCAGGTCACCTGATTTGTGAATCCCAAACAGATTCAAACATAAGCAAGTACCACAATGATGGAAAGACAGGAGTTACTCCAGGCATATTTAGTAACCTAAAGCTCTGGTGCTTCCTAGGTCTATTGGGAAAAGTAGAGACAGACAACCTTGGTCAACGACACATCTGGACTTTCTGTATAAAGATTTTAAGTTATAATTTGATATATAGACACCTACACCTTTTCACACCTGCTATTTTGCACAGAATGCTTTAACCTACACAAAACACAAAGACTGCATATAGACTACTACCAAAATAAAAAAAAAAAAAACCCCACAAAAACAACATACCCTCCCCAAAGCTCCCCTGCAACCACTTCCAATATAATAAAAGTGCCAAAGCAGAGGAGATATAGTATAATCTCAACGGTGCCCAAAGTGAATTTCAGTATAAGTTTATAAGTATCAGTCCTTTATGGTCAGCATTAAAAAACAGATCTTAGCGAAGGTACAGTAAGTGTAGTTACAAAAAATACTTACTGAATGTAATTCTGGAAAAATCTCCTCCATGGCAAAGTACTCCATGAAAGTGGCAAATCCCTCATTCAGCCAGAGATCGTTCCACCATTCCATAGTTACTAGATTGCCAAACCACTATAAAAGACCAAAAACATCATTCTTTTTCAGAAATAAAATCAAATGAGTACAATAACGTTCCATCCATCCTCAGCTTTATCTTGTGGCAAAATCAAGCTCAGTCAAAACCACGGTAATGCTTTTGCATGAACAACTGCCTAAGTACATCATGACAGAGTTGCACTCTGCCTGTTGTACTGGAGAAAATACACCTGCAGGTATTCTGAACAGACACAATAAACAACCCAGTGAGGGCAGGGGTGAATTCAAGGACAGAATTGCATTAAGAAAAAAAAAAAAAAAGAACGCACCATATTTAAACAATGACCTCCCCAATCTAGTACCTGATGGGCAAGCTCATGTGCTATCACTGCAGTTATTAACTTTTTATCCCTTGCTGAAGAAGTATTACTGTCAAACAAGAGTGTTGTTTCTCGGAAGGTGATCAAGCCCCAGTTTTCCATTGCGCCGGACTGAAAATCAGGAATTGCTACCAGATCTGGAAAAGATTTGAAAGAAGCTTTTGAAAACTGCTAGTTAAAGCAATTCTGTATTGCAAGTCTACCTATTCTATTACATAATCCCTAAAAACCTCATTATTTAAATCCTGTGGTGTGGACATGTGCTTACATCTGAAGCACAGAAACCCCATAGATTTATAGCCGTGTTTCTCTAGCAGTACTCTTACACAAACTACTTAAAGCACTACACAGACACTGCCTATAGATCTTGCATCCACACAACTAACGAGGAAATGGGGCTGCCCCTACTGAAAGCAATGTCTTAGAAGACTGCATTTCATTATCTTTCTAGTCAAACTAATACATGCAGAGAAGTCAGGCTACAGATTTTGCACTGATGAACATTGTTCACAGACTGAGAATTCTGTATCTCCCTACCAAGGCACATCACATTAAATTTACACCTAATAACTTCTTTGATGTTATGTCCAAGTACAAGCAATCTGGTGTCAAAAGCTCACAAAAATTTTCCAGCTTAGGAATCACTTAATACTTGTACTCAATCAAATACTTAATGAATTTTTTTAACAATTTTGAGGAAACCTTATTTCACAGATGTTTTATGCTATCTTTTTTTTTTTTTTAAGCACATGTTTTCAGAATGAAAGTTCCCCTGCATTTCTCAGAATTGATTAAGGTTTCTTCTTCTATTTAAAAAAGTTAAAAAGAACTTACCTAATTTTTCAAGAGGGTAGTTTATTAAAAAGTATTTTTGATAAAATTCCAGAAGTTTCACTGCTGTGTTTAGGGCATACCCAACTTGGTTTAGATGCTGCGGTATGGCATAGACAGATACCTAGTCCAAACAGAGAAAAGATTTTGAAACATATAGCTGCAAAAGCTTTAGAAGTAAAAGAGGAGCTGGCAGAAGTTCCTGAAACAGATAGGATGTGGTTTTGGGAGTACACACATAAATTACAAACACAAGTTATGAAGCTGTCAATAAAGAGCTAATTTTTTTACTAGAGCTTAGTTACTAGTCAAAATACAGACAGACTATCCAGTTGACCAATATGCATGTAGGAACAATTCAAGGCTGATACCTTTCAGGAAGGCTTTCAAGAAGGGTCTATATGAACAGAAATTGAACCATTTCCTTTTTTACTCCCTTGTGAGTTATTAAGTGACCCTCCCTGCATACCTCAATTAATCTATAAGTTTAGGCTATCAGTATGATAACACTAGTATAATCTGCAAGAAATTCCCTCAAGAAATAATAATTGGCACAAAATTCACCCATTCCCTATCTAAGGTAGGGCCATATTAGACATAATGTAAGAAGCACTCATGAAAATTGAGAGGTCACAGTCTCCTATTCATATTGAAGTGGCTATATCAAGAAAATAACTTTGATTAAGTTACAGCTTGATCCGGGTTTAGGACGCCTTTTCACACACAAACACAAAATATGTCGAGACTAATTTTACTGTCTATTAAAAAAACCCCAACAAACTCTCTTACTATGCTACAAATCAGTAAACAAATGACATTTCAAATAGATGGATAGAGTGACCTTTTAATTTTTAAGTTTGAACCAGGCACATGTCAGTAAGGATCTAATCTAGTGTTCCTAGAAGTATAAAAGTATTATTAGCTGCAAATTTTAAGCTCAAACACAAAACAAAAAAGCCCCCCCTGGATCTTCTGGAGTTGAGAAAATTCTCATTGCATGATGAACACAAAGAAATTTTACTTCAACTCTAAGCTATCTTATAAGATCCATGACAATAAACTTATTCTGTGTGAACTGGTTATCTCAAATTCTTTGAATCTCCCAGCCACAAATTGCTGGAAGCATTTTGAGAATGCATTTCGTGGAAAACGTCATTATATGCTTCCTTCTTACAGTCTCCCTTGGCCTACTAGACACTGTTGGCAATAGAACAACACACTAGCTAGACTCCAGCCTTACTTGGTGTCCTGGTTCCAGCTGGGACAGAGGTAACTTTCTTCCCAGTAGCTTGGGGGGTGTGCTGTGTTTTGGGTTTGGTGTGAGAGGAGTATTGATGGCCCATTGATGCTTTGGTTGTTGCTGGGTGGTGCTTGCACTGGGGACTTTTTTTTTTTGGCTTCCCATGCCCTGCCAAGTGCAGGGGAAGCTGGGCGGGGGGAGCACAGCCAGGATGGTTGACCCAGGTGGCCAATGGGGTATTCTATACCATGTGACGTCATGCTCAGTATAAAAATCGGGGGAATGGGGGGGTGGG